TATTTATAAATGGGTAATTGAAAAAAAATAGTATTCATGATTTCAATTTAATCTTTAATAAAACTCTTAAATATAATTTATATATGTATAAATGAATGTCATTCTAGCATTCATTAGCTAAAATGGACCCTAGAATACTAATTAGAAATAATTGACTGCAGCTAAAACTATTTTACAATGGCATTTAAAACCTTTTCCTTTTAGTATGTCAGATTAGAATGTTATTTGTACATGGGGTTAGGAAAGAGGAAATTAATGTTCTTAGAAGTGATTACTACTGTCAAGCTAAATGATTGACTATCTTTTCTACTCTGGGGATCAATTTACCAAGGAGATTATAGTATTCATGTTGGTCAATCCTCTAATTTTTCCCTTTTGGATTATGCCACAGAAACATTTGATAGTCATATTGTTTTAATTTTCTGTGTAAAATGCAGACAGACCATTGCCTTTCAGCCAGCTCAGTCTTCAAATTTTATTACATTGAGTTAAAATTTTCTTTTGTATTCAAGCCCTGAACTTACCTGATCAGATTGAGAGTGGCATTGGTCTCTTAAATAAAGTCATTTTCTAGAACAGATAACATGTGGAGAAGACATTTTAACTATTAAATATCACCCTCAGAAGATGATATTTTTCTACTAAATTCTCTTGATATAATTCATTGTATACTGACAAGTTTATTTGCCTCAGTTCTATAATGTAGCTGTTTATTCACACATATACCATACCAGCCTTAAAATTTTTGTACTTAAGTTGGGAGCAGCGAATGGACCAGCATGGGCGAGTCTACTATGTAGATCATGTTGAAAAACGAACAACATGGGATCGGCCAGAACCTCTACCTCCTGGGTAAGTACCTGAACTTTATAAAAGAGGGGAAAAAAATGTTTATTTAGCGCTTTGTATTAAATCTTTATAAAATCATCACCAGATTCCTACTTTGTATTTTGGTCAGCCCTTTCTCCATCCACTTTAGTTTGTGGTAGGTAGAAACTATAAAAAGGAGAGATCCAGAGATAAATGAGCATGATGAATAATTTTTCTTTTCATTCATCTGACCAAAAGATTTCTTAGGTTTTGCTACCCAAAAGTTTTCCTGTGTTTTACCTGTCTCAGAACCATAGACTTTTAGAATTAGTTTTTCTTTTTTTTTGGTTTTTACTTCCGGCTTAAGAAAGGTCTTTGGTCATTGTTTAACTGGTGGTGAATGGGGTGGGGCAAGGGGGAAAGGGGGCTGCAGTAGGGGGTCTGGGGGGCCCAGTGGGCCACAGCAGCCACAGTCTTTGCCTCCCCTGCCCCTCCAGTCTGTCAGCTCTGTGTCCCCTGTGCTGTGGATGCTGCCTGCTGCAGCCCTGCCACCACAGTGGGGCCGCTTGCTTCAGCCTCTACCTCCAGCAGGCACAGACCCTGCAGGGGGGGAGTCATTGGGCTTCTCTAAGCTCCCTGGTGTGGGGTGTGGCCAGAGCACCCAGAAAACAAGAATACAGGCCTGGTCACCCCCCTCAGGCCAGGTGGCCCTGCTCCCATGATGACTCAGGGTGCACAATGTGTCCCCCTAGTTCAGCCTGGTGCACAGAATTAGTTTTTCTTTAAGAGTTAATTATTATGGGGGGAGGAAAAGAGTAATTATTTAACAGAATAAAAATTAAAGCCTGCAAGAAAAAATTCCTTCCGTATCAGGTAACTTAAAATAAAAGATTGAGGTCATTGCAAAATAGTTGGGGACATTAGGATATTTGATTAATAATGTGTTTGGTATTAATACAAAAAGAAAATATATTTAATGCAGAGGGAACACAGTAACAAACCTTGTTTGTTTTTTTAAAACAACAACAAATATTGCCAGCAAGTCAATTCTGACTCACAGCAACCCTGTGGCATGGAGTAGAACTGTCCCATAGGGCTTCCAAGGTTGTAATCTCACTAGGGAAGCAGACTGCCACATCTGGAGTGGCCAGTGGCCTTAGATCACCAACTGTTAGGTTATCAGTTGAGCACTGCCACTGCTCCACAAGGGCTCTTTACAGCTCTGGTTGTTGGAGTGGGTGATAAACCCCCATCAAATATATGTGTATATGCCATAATCTTGCATATACGCTTAATAATCCAGAAAATGTCTTCTGATGAAATAAAAAGAAATAAGGAGTGATGTGTTTTTTTTTAACATTTTATTAGGGGCTCATACAACTGTTATCCCAATCCATACACACATCAATTGTGTAAAGCGCATTTGTACATGGTTTCTCAAAACATTTTCTCTCCATTGAAACCCCCGACATTAGGTCCTCATTTTTCCCCTCCCTCCCCGCTCCCCCCTCCCGCATGAGCCCTTGATAGTTTATAAATGGGTATTTTGTCATATCTTGCCCTGTCCGATGTCTCCCTTCATCCACTTTTCGGTTGTCTGTCCCCCAGGGAGGAGGTCACACACAGTTCCATGTAATCGGTTCCCTCTTTCCTACCCATTCTCCCTTTACCCTCCCTGTTTTGCCACAAGGAGTGATGTTTTAAAGATATTTATTATTTTATTTTTTCTAATACCCAGAATATTGGACACAACCAGGTAGAAGTCATCAAATTATTACAGAAATGCGTTTACGTAATTAAATATGGTACTCTAATGTAAAACAATAAATACTAAAATTGCATCTCTGTAAAGTGTTTTCAGTGTCTGAAAAAGCTGGGTGCATCATTTGTATCCCCATTATGACTGCAAGGAGCCTTGGTCGCATAGTGGCCATCAGGTTAGTGGGTTACTAACTGCAAGCTTAGCAGTTCTATACCACCAGCTGCTCCCCTGGAGAAAGATGAGGCTTTCCACTCATCTACTCTTCATACTGTAAAGAGTTAACAGTCTTAGAAGCCCACAGAGGCCATTCGGCCTGTTCTCTAGGACCATGAGTCTGAATTGACTGAATGGTAGTGACTTGAGAGTGACATTATGATTGCAACAGTAAAAAGAACATTAGAGGCTCTCTGCTCCTCCTCGTGCGACAGCCGCCTCTCCCGGTCCCATGCAGTCCCAGCCGCATCCCGGTGAAGGTCGGAGTGCACGGATTTGGCCTCATTGAGCGCCTGGTCACCAGGGCTGCTTTAAATTCTGGCAACGTGGAAATAGTTGCCATCAATGACCCCTTCATTGATCTGAACTACATGGTCTACATGTTCCAGTATGATTCCACCCACGTCAAGTTCAATGGCACTGTCAAGGCTGAGAATGGGAAGTTTAATGTCAATGGGATGGCCATCTCCATCTTCCAGGAGCGAGATCCCGCCAACATCAAGTGGGGTGAGGCCGGTGCTGAGTATGTTGTAGAGTCCACTCGTGTCTTCACCAACGTAGAGAAGGCCAGGGCTCATTTGAAGGGCAGTGCCAAAAGGGTGATCATCTCTGCCCCTTCTGCTGATGCCCCCATGTTTGTGATGGGCGTGAACCACGAGAAGTATGACAACTCCCTCAAGTTTGTCAGCAATGCCTCCTGCACCACCAACTGCTTAGCCCCCCAGGCCAAGGTCATCCATGACAATTTTGGCATCGTGGACGGACTCATGACCACAGTCCATGCCATCACTGCCACCCAGAAGACTGTGGATGGCCCCTCTGGGAAACTCTGGCGTGATGGCCATGGGGCTGCTCAGAACATCATCCCCGCATCTACTGGCACTGCCAAGGCTGTGGGCAAGGTTATCCCAGAGCTGAATGGGAAACTGACTGGCATGGCCTTTCATGTCCCCACCCGCAATGTGTCCCTCGTGGATCTCACATGCCATCTGGAGAAAGCTGCTAAGTACGATGACATCAAAAAGGTGGTAAAGCAGGCGGCAGATGGTCCCCTAAAGGGCATCCTGGGCTACACTGAGGACCAGGTTGTCTCCTGTGACTTCAACAGTGACCCTCACTCTTCTACCTTTGATGCTGGGGCTGGCACTGCCCTCAAGCTCATTTCCTGGTATGACAATGAAATGGCTACAGCAACAGAGTGGTGGATCTCATGGTCCACATAGCCTCCAAGGAGTAAGAGTCCCCCCTGGACCACCAGCCCCAGCAACAGCACTAGAGGAAGAGAGGCCCTCAGCTGCTGGGGAGTCTTTGCCCCTAATTCAATCCCCCAACACACTGAGAATATTCCATCCAGACCCCCTGAAGGAAGGGGAGGGGCTTAGAGAACTCGACTTTGTCATGTACCATCAATAAAGTACACTATACCCAGGGGGGGGGGGGGACATTAGAAAATGAGAACTTTTTTTTGTGTGTGTGTGTGTAAGAGAGAACTTTATATCAAAGAACAATTGTACATTAAGAAAATGTTCCAGCCCAGATCAGATCAAGTCCATAAGTCCGATATTACCCCATGTGTTGATACTAGTTCATAAATTCCTCTTTAGACTCACACAGCCATGCAATGACACCAAATGCAGGATGATCATGGGTGGAAAGTCTTGTGGATCCAGTGGCGGTGGCAGAATCTCAGTGTTGGTGTCCAGCTCCTGGGCTCTGGCTTCCATCAGCATTGCTCCATGTGGGAGAACTTTTTTCTTAATGACTGATTAAGACTTAATACTTACTTCATTTTGAGAATTTAACTCATATTTTATGATTTTAAAAAATTTATTTATTTTTTATCATTTTATTAGGGGCTCATACAACTCATCACAGTCCATACATATACCAATTGTGTAAAGCACATTTGTACATTCATTGCCTTCATCATTCTTAAAACATTTGCTCTCCACTTAAGCCCCTGGCATCAGCTCCTCATTTTTTCCCCCTCTCCCCTCTTTATGATCTCCTAAAAAGAATTTTTAGGGAAATTCCCTTTAAGTTTACTTACACTCCATTTTAAAATTAAAAACTTCAGGTAAATAAAAGATAATGTCTCAGGTTAAAATCTCGCCAAATTTGCACCAGAGCCAAGAAGAGTTCTTGTTTAATTCATTTCTGTTTCACCGCTATTTTTTATTTGATTTTTTTCCCCTTCTCTCCCTGCTTTAGTTGGGAACGGCGGGTTGACAACATGGGACGTATTTATTATGTTGACCATTTCACAAGAACAACAACATGGCAGAGGCCGACATTAGAGTCTGTCCGTAACTATGAACAGTGGCAGCTACAGAGAAGTCAACTTCAAGGAGCAATGCAGCAGTTTAACCAGAGATTCATTTATGGGGTGAGCAGCCTGTGCATTATAAAGTTGAGATTGTTCATGTCCTCACGCTTTTCCTGCTTGTGCTGTGCGGAGTACTAAGAGGAGGAAGGTACAGTAGCATTGCAACTTGAGTGTGGCTGTGGAAGATTTTGTTTGGGGGCCCTTTCTGATGTCTTCTGCCAGTGGGATCTACACTTTCCTCTCTGTCATATCATGAAGTCCAACCTGTTTTGCTTTATTTTAACATTAACAAACAAAAAGAAAATAGGACAACTAAAATTCATGGACAAAAACCCAAGCTGTTTGAAAAATAAAAACTCTAAATTTAGTCCTGCCTTAACTTCACAGAATATTTGAAGGATTTGATCTAAAAGCCACCTAACTCAAGTGGTTGTACAGAATTAGTGAGAGATGAATCACTTCTTCCATTCATTAAATAGTTTACCTAATTATTTGTTGCTCTGGGATAATGAGTAAATTTTAATTTTTTTAAACAAGATTTTGCTAAACGAGAAAGAAATGATATTATCTTTGGTATAAAAATATTACCTTTCTGGAAACAAATTGTTTAAATTTTACATATTTTCTTCTAGCATAATTAATTTCAAGTCAAAAAGTATTAGAGAGCTTCTCTTTAAGAGATTTGATTTTCTGTGCCATACAAGCTGGATTTGAATAGTATAGATGTATAGGCCCTAAACACAAAACCAGTTCTCTAGACTTCAGGAAAAGACAGCCCTCTCCATTGTCAATCCTTTGCTTCAGATGTGTTATCTCTGTTAAGAATCCATTGAAGTAAAATAGCACCTTTCATATTCCTGTTTTCTTTATGTATTACCTCCATCTTGCTCTCCTCACTGTAACAATTACTCAATGTACACAATTTCACCTTCATCATCCAAGCACCTTTCCTATACTACTTGTTTATGGACTGAGGTACTTTGGTTTGAGATACCTTTATAAAGTATAGTTTTTTCTGTCACCTTCTCTAAATAGGTGTCAGTACATCCCCCTTTCCAGTGATTTGAGAAATGAAATTAATTTTTTGTCTCTTGTCTACCCTTTCTTTTTCCCTTTATTCCTTTTACATCTTCCTTTCTGAATTAAATTTACCTTTGGTGTGTCTGGCTAGTTTCTTCTGCGCTTGAATGCCTAGCTTGCCTGCTTTCTTTAACCTAGTTTTCCTCCTGGGTGTCCAGTGGGAAAATTGTGTGATACAGAGTCAGACACATAAGTGTTCGAATGCTGATTCTATCAGTTTCTTTTTCTATTATACTTTGAGTAAATTACTTAGGCGCCTCAAAACTCATTTACTTTATAAACTAGATTTACATAATAGCCTTAGAAGTTTTTATTCAGAGGATTCTGTAAAATAAAATAATGTTTCTAATATGTTTGGCACATATTAAATGCTCAGAAATGTTAGTTCCAGTCTTGTCCCTTTTTTTGAAACTGTAATTGTAAATGTCCCTCTATTTTATTTTTACATTAATTGATCTTTCAAAGCATTCTTTTTGAAAATATAACAAATTTCTGAAGCATCCACTGTGTTTTGCTTAATCAATTTGATAGTCATGGTCTTTGAAACTTTTCTTAAAGTTTAGCTGTTACTCCACTCCAGAGTAATCTGAGAAATCGTCTGAAGTGTCTGTTCATCACTTTGTAGTTCTAAATTATTTAGAACTTAATAGCCTATGGTAGCCCTCCCCAAAATATTCAAAGGTATGAATTGAACATTGACACCAGCTTCTTGGAAGAGGAGGTTTCTGAGAAATTCTCTTTGTGGGTGGCGTATGAAGTGCCCCCCACCCCATTGTTGTCCCAACTCTGGTTCTAGGGCAGTAGATTCATCCACAAAGCTCTACTGCTATTGTTGATGCATTTAAATTATGGTGTTGGTGGAGAACATTTACTATCCCATGAACTACCAGAAGAATTAGCAAATCTTGAAAGCAAACCTTGAAAGAAGTACAACCAGAATGCTCCTTAGAAGTGAAGATGGTGAGACTCTTTTAGTCTCCTATTTTCAAGAAGGACCAGCCCCTGGAAAATCGCATCATGTTTGATAGAGTTAAGAGGTTCAGTGACAGAGAGAGCCCCTCAGTGAGGTGGATCGACACAGGCTGCAGCAGTGGGCTTGAGCATAGTAGTGGTTGTAAGGATGGCACAGGCATCTTATTTTCCTTAAAGCCACAATCGAATCATCAGATTGCTGCAATAAGTTAGGCATTGAAGCATCAACAACAAAAGATAATACTCCTTTTAATTGAGACTAAGAGACCCAACCAAATATAATGTGATGAATTTGTTTGGATTTTGATTTAAATAAATAACTAGAAATACCATTATGGCTTAGGTATTAAATTAGCAATTATTTGTTAAGTGTATTATTATGATATTAAAAATGTGAAAATGTCTAAATTTGCATTATATAGAAGTATATAAATTTCAGGCATACTGAAATAGGAAGGTAAGTAAAAGGTATCATTGCAAAATCATAGGAACTTTTAATAAACAAAAACAAAATGTGAAACTATTATTTCTTAACATTTCCTTTTCTATGTCTGTATACTTCTCAAGGCATTGTTTCCATTTAGCTGTTCTTTGAAGAAATCTGCACTCTGATGTTTAACATGTCAAAGTGACAGTTTGGGCATCTTCCAGTGATTCAAAATGGTGCTCATTTAAAATTTTTGAGTTTAGAAAGCAAAGAAGAGTTTGAAGGGCCATGAATCAGGGCTGTAGGGTGACTTTGTTAAGATTTCCCAATGAAATTCTCTTAAAGCCCTTGCTCCCCTATAATGAACCAGATATATTGTGATGGGGAAAAATTCCTTGATTCAGCTTTCCTGGGCTTATTATCACCGGTGCAGTTTTCATTTTCTTAAAACTTATTAATTATAAGTCCCTGTGATCATCTTGTCTTTAAATCCAATCTATAAAAATTTCCCCTTTGGGTTCCCCCATTTACCACAACCTTTCAGAAATGACCTTTCCCTTAAATTTAACTGACCTAGAAGATCCCCTCGGAAGTTACTGTCTTGATTGGATCTTGTTCTTTAAAACACCCTAAGAAGACTAAGAAAAATATATTACCGAGAGAATTGTCTATAACCGTATACTGATCAGAGAAATGTTTAAATATGTTTTATTTCGAATAAATATGTGTGTGTGTGAACTGGAACCTTAGTAGCAATACTTTGGATGTACCCACATATATAAGGGTGAAAATTATGGCTCATTTTTGAATTAGCAGAGAACAGAGAAATCAGTAGATGAAGTAAATAAGGCTGTTTTTATAATTTTCAATTTCCATGATGACTTTATGGGATTTATTGCCCAATTTCATGTGATTTTGTATTTTGTCAAAGCAGCTGGAATGTAATATTTGGTCAATTATCTTATAAGGCAGAAAGCTTTACTGGTTTTATTGAGCAATCACAGTAGTATCCCAATTGACTAAATGTAAAGAACTCTGCTTAGATAACGTTATAAGGGCTTGGCTGAGAAAAGACCCGGCAAACAGCAGTTTAGGAAACCTTATGGGGCAGTTCTACTCTTGTCTTAACCAGGTCAGACTGTGATTTGAAATCAATTTGATGGCATACAGTGACAATGTACATGTAAACATAAGCATTCATTCTGCACAGTCCATATGACTTGCTTCTCTTTTTCAAAAAGTTAACTCTTGATTTTCTTTTACCCTACCTGGATAAACTGTCCCTCCTCATAATTACAACTCTTGGAGTAGCTATATATTATATAATTTTTTAGCAAATGAAAATGGTCATTTGGGAGTGAGGATTTGCAGGAACTTTCTCATTACACATTATTTGTGTACTATTTGAATTTAAAAAAAAATCATTTTATTAGGGGGTCATACAACTCTTATCACAATCCATACACACATCAATTGTGTAAAGTGCATTTGTACATTCATTGCCCTCATCATTCTCAAAACATTTTCTCTCCACTTAAATCCCCGGCATTAGGTCCTCATTTTTCCCCTCCCTCCCGCTCCCTCCTCCCTCATAAGCCCTTGATAGTTTATAAATTGTTATTTTGTCATATCTTGCCCTGTCCGACGTCTCCCTTCACCCACTTTTCTGTTGTCTGTCCCCCAGGGAGGAGGTCACTACTATTTGAATTTATAAAGATCTTTGTTACACCCTTCCCTCCAAAAGAAAGTATATTGACTGGGCAACACTTCTCTAGGATATGAACTCCATATGAGTATGCTATGTTCTACACAGCTGAGGAAAGTTAATTGGGACTCAGAATCACCTATTTTAAGTTTTACTACTTTTATGTCCGTTGTAGAATCAAGATTTGTTTGCTACTTCACAAAATAAAGAATTTGATCCCCTTGGCCCACTGCCATCTGGTTGGGGTAAGTCATGTGAATATTTTTCATTGACTGTCATTTCAAAAATTAGATCTTTATGGCTGATATTCTCCTTTTTGCATAATTGAATCACTGTCTTTTGTTGAGTGACTCACTCTGCTTTTGTTTGAGTAAATAGCTAGGAAGTGTTAAATTATAAGCTGAGAGTACCAAAAAATTCCACCAAACATTTTAAGCTATTTTATTATAATAAACTTTTATGTGACTTCAGAATTATTTTACTGTTTTAGAGTTTAAAACTGTTTTGAGGATTCAGCAATAAAAATAGGAATGAACTGTCAGTACACCAAACCACCTGCCTGGATCTGTAGAGTATTTTGCTTAGTGAAAAAAGATTATCTTAGACATTTATATACTGCATAATTCTATTTATAGTACATTCTCAAAGTGACAAAACTATAGAGATGGCGAACAGATTAGTGATTGCCAAGAGACCCTGGGTTGTCTGAGCTGGGTAGGTACAAATACAAAGGCAGCCTAAGGAATTTCTTTTGTTGTGATGAAATAGCTTTGTTATTGTGGTGGTGGATATGAGAATCTGTACATAGGATAAGTGTGTAAAACTATACACATGAATGAATGGAGGTTAAAAATTATGAAAATTGAATAAAATATGTATCAGAGCTCCTTAAATTTTCTCCACTGGTGAGCACTTTTCACCTAGGAAATTTGCAACATGGCTAAGTACTGCCAGAAACATCTGATTCATTACACGTTTGATTTTGAAATTAATTTTGGTCTTCGTACATTCAGAAACCTTTGATTGTTAACAAAGTTTTCACATCCCCCTCATAGAATATGTGACTCCATCTGGGGTTGTGACCCACAGTTTAAGAAGCTGAGTAAAATATGATACTAGAGAAACTCCCCGCCTTCGCGACCCCAGTGCTCTTTCACTGAGGTTATATCCAAATGTTTTGAAAATGATGATGGCAACAAATGTACAAATGTGCTTGACACAATGGATGTATGTATGGATTGTGATAAAGTTGTATGAGCCCAAAATAAATGATTTAAAAAACCCAAACTCTTGTGAGTCAAAGAAAGATAGATAGAGGCTGCACTTAAAACTCTTATTGCTGCCGGTTTGCAACAAAGGAACGGCAGATGAAAGCAGTGAATTTCTACTTTCACCATGACCTGACATTCTGGTGAATACCATAGAAGAAGAGAAGCGGTAAGTTGTTCATGATAGGTCCTGTTTAACCTGACCTGGCAGGTTACATTCCCAGACACGGATGGTTTTCCAACCTTGTTTTTAGAATGAAATCGATGCACTGCAAAGATATATCTGAAAGTCATGAGATTGATCCTTTATTTTTCAGTTTTAAGATTTTATTGAACTATAAGTAGCATGTCATACAATTCAATAGTTCGATCAAATCAAGCATTGTGCACTCATCGCCACAATCACCTTTGTATATTCTTTTGTAGGAAAGCTGACCCGATTATCCTTTGTCAGAAACAGCCATTTACGTCTTGAGAGCAGCCATCGGAAAAACTATGTTGCCTCTCCCTTTAGCTTTTCTGATAGCTAGTCCTTGACCTCTGTGGTTATCATCAGCACCATCATCAGGATTTTTCTCACTTTTACTTTAGCCTGTAACAAGTCCGCTACAATTTTACCTCTAAAGATGAAATCTTGGCTTATTCAGGTTATCAGCCTCCTCCCTGCTATTTTATAGTCTGATTACCTTTAGGTTTTAAGCTCCTGCAGTTGAAAGTGCCTTGTTTCTAGATTATTTCATGATCATCTTGCTCAGCCTCTGAGCACAGCTTTGTGATTCTGTAGTACCAGTGACAACACTAGTACTTCAACAAATGAAGAGATTCTCCCCCCCCCCTTCCTGCCATCCCTTCAGAAGTAACCTAAAAATAGTAGTGTCCCATAAATACCAGCTTTGTTTGCATTCTGCGATTGACAGCATTGTTTGTTGTATATTCAAATACATTCTCCTCACCCTTTTGGATATTTATATGCAAAGACTAGAGATTATCACCTTCCAAGCTGTCAGTAAAGAATTTTGAACACATGCACACTCTGGAAAACATAGGCTACTTTGGGTTCAACATTATAGTCTAATAGGGCTTTGTTAGCCCACCAAATTTAAAGATAATTTTTCACTTAGTTGCTATGAAATAAAAGTAGATTTCATTAAAAAAAAAAAAGTATAAAGCTTCATGCTATTATAACTTTAATTTTTTTTAAAGAAATAAATGGGTGAAACTATTTATTGTGCACAAATATATCAATAAAACTAGAGATAGTCCCTTTACTCCACAAAAAGGAAAAGTACATAATGACTTTCCAGGAAGGGAAAAACATAATGCTAGCTCATTTGTGCCGAGCCACACATGAAGTAATGGTTCCAAAGGCAGCTTCTCAAGTCCAGAAGCACAGATTTCACAACTAGGACATGACACTGAACTCTGAATCATTTCATAATTCAAATTTAAGGAAAAAAAAGAAAAAAAAACCAAACAAAAAACACCAACATTGTTCAAACATGGAGTCTGAACTATCAGAAGAAGGCCAGTAAAGATTACAATGTGTTCATCCACACACTATATTATCCCAGGATAAAAAAAATCATCATAATCTAAAATCTAAATCATTTACACTATTATGATAGATCCCAAATGGAAAATTTCTTTACTTGTTATTATAAATCATGCTCCCACAGGCACACAAAACAATACACACAGAAAGAGAAATTTTCCACCAGGAATAAAGAAAACCTTGGAGAAAAAATAATGCTAACCCATAGGATGTGCTCAATTCAACAGTGTCTAAGTCACAGGCATTTCCAAAATATAAACTACAAAGAATTTCCAGGGACCTTATTCATCCCTTCTGATGATTTATGGGTCATTTGGGGAATGCCAATATTGGCATTAGTTAATATCAGTACATTTTCTTGTGAGCAGAATTTATCCTGGAATAAAAATAGTATAGTATGGATCAAGTAAACTTAATCCTCTTTGTAAACTGAAGAGTAAGATATCATAAGGATCAAGAATAAGTAACAGGAAAAGTTCAAATCAGTCACTAATTTTATCCAAAAGTCACCAGATGTTTGCTGATGACATGGATTATAATTTTATAGGCTAGGGGTAATAGTCATCCATGCCTTTGTTTTTTTCCTTCCAAAAAAAGATGTCAATATTTTTTCTTAACTTTAATTTTTTTCATTAGTACTTTTAATTTCCATTTATTTGTAAAGCTTTTCATTTTTCTTTTCTTTTAAAAAAAATTATTTTATTGGGAGCTCATACAACTCTCTAATCACAATCCATACATATATCAATTGTGTCAAGCACATTTGTACATTCGTTGCCCTGTTTTATTTATCAAGAAAGTGCTCTGATATGTGCTTAGGGTTGGTTCAGTAATTTTTCATCAAAATAAGCAATTAGTTCTCTAGCCACAGCAGTTCCTCTCATGTAGCAGATGAGTCTTCAGTTTACAAATATATACCTTTGACATTTTCTGTTTTGCAGTCTCTTCCAAGAAATGCTGGTGTCACCGGTAGATATTTAGAGTGCACATGAGAAACAAGTTTGCTTTTAAGTTTATCTTATGGTCACACTATGTCTGGAGGGAAAATCTCTAGCTGAAATGTAAACTTAGGTAGCAGGTAAAAGATACATACATGTTCAGGTATTCATTTAGAGTACTGCTTTAAATTTTCAAAGTTTATTATTTTTAAGTTATTTTTTTATTTCTGCTTTGGTATTTGTTACTGCCTTAATTCTGGTAGCTTTAATCTTAATTTGTTCTTGTTTTCCTTCCCAGTTCCTCAAGTTGTAGAGTGAGGTTATTGTTATGGGATTTTTTTTTAAAGAAAAATAATTCTAAAGTCCTCAAATAATTAATTTTAAAATTTTGCTGGGATTACCAAGAATATGAACTTCACCTCGGGCCAGCCATAGCATTGTGAGAGTTTATTTTTGTTCCAGATTAAGCTTTAGCTTGGTACGTGACTTAGTTCTCCAAGTGCTGTGCGCAGTAATGCCTATATTAACATTCAGGAATGTCATTGTGTCACCAGAGATAGTCTCACTTTTCCGTACTTCATACCTGGAGTTCTGTTTCTGCTGTAGCATAGCTGATGTAGAAAACACCTAAGAGTCACCAGAACATTCTTTTAGAACCTATATCCTCACTGCCGCCTGGAATCCGTACAGGAACTAGAATTAAATGTTAAAAAACTAACTTTCAAAGACTATAGCTTAGCTATAATTTTTCCAATAATAAGAAATAAAAATTTCTTTCATCAGCTTTGAATTGAACCTCAAATTTTGTTTGAAAATTGTTAGAAATGCTTTAATCTTCAATACTTCAATGATCTATTTGAGATGTTGTAGGTAAACGAAAAAATACAATACAAAAAGGAGGTCTATCTTAATGAAGAATTCATTGGTGAGGCAAAGAAGTCAGTTCAAAGATTAGTCATTAAAAAGGGAAACATATCCGTGTGACTGATAGGAAAGCTTCGGAAATTAGATGAAATTTTGTAGAATCTAAAAAAGAAATCAAGGAGAATGCTAAAGCAATAGGTAAATGAGAAACTAACAGTAGTTTCATGTGTAATTAGGGAATTAAATTCTGTTGCTCAGCTCTTACAGGGAAAGTAATAAAGCTCTTAAGGCAGTGGATTTTGGAATGAGTATATGAAGTAACTGAATATATTAAAACAGAAACAACGCCTCCCATAATGTCTACTGCATAGCAAAGAAACAGTTGTTATATTTTTCTAGTATGTTTTAAATATTATTTGATATGTCAGAAATCCCAAATGGACACATCTGAGTTTCCATAGTCTGTTATTTAATTCTGACATTTTGGATAGATCACTTGCGTTCTTGTATTTTCAGGTTAAAAATAAAATCACATATCCTATGGAACTCAAACCAAAAACAAACTCAACTGCTACTGAGCTGATTCTGACTCTGAGTGTCCCTGTCGAACAGCATGGACTGCCGCTAGGGAGCAGTGTCACTGTGCTCCACATGGTGTCACCCCGAGTCCATATCTGCGTGACAACTCCTGCTGTTGGTTTCTGTGTTTTTAATTCTTGCCCATCTTGATTGAACTAAGCAGAAAAATCCTATGGACTGGCATTGTGAATTACATCTATTTAATACCTAGGACTTAGTAATATTATTATTAAGTAAACATATACATAAATTGTCAAAAAATAAATGAAAACTTTTAGAGTTAGGAGTTAAAATCTCCCAAAGTATCAATGCAATGAGAAATAGGCATAATGAACTTATCATATTATTTAAACTTATGGAAAAAGATTATACCAAGTAATGTTTTCTTTTATTTAAGAGAAGAGAACAGACAGCAATGGCAGAGTATATTTTGTCAATCATAACACTCGTATTACACAGTGGGAAGACCCCAGAAGTCAAGGGTAAGAACTTTCTATTTACCTCTGAAAGTTGGTGCCTTATTTCTGACTCAGTTATAAGCAGATCGAAGTTACATAGTCTCTTCTGAGAGGCCTTCACGCTCTATCTCTAAAGATAGAGTTGGCAGTCTTTTTACAATTTGCTACCATTTTTGGTCTTTCTTATTTTATATATAAAATAAGTGAGAAACAGTTATATTTTGTATTATATTAGAATATACGGTCACCTATTATGTCTCATTATTGCATTCAAATATCTGAATATCGCAAAATTCTCTTTTGATAGTTTATAGAATATTAATAGTTTTTTTAGAGAAGGTTGAGTGCTTTCAGATGAAAATTAAGTATCACTTGGTAGATTATTTGCACTTTCCCACATAGTATATCTGATTATAACTGTAATAACATTTTGGAAATAAAAATTACAGAGGAATTTTTATGCTTTATGTAAGGAGGGTGGGATGGGAGAAAAGTCTGAAAGGGAACGTTAGGGTCAGAGTATAGAAGCTTGAATGGGTGCCAGATGGAGGTGACCCATTAGAGTACTTTAAAGAACACTATTAATTTATAACTATCTTTTTGAAATACAGATCTGATAACAGTAGCATGGAATATAAGAGTAGGACTAGTATAAGACTGGAGGCAAGAAAACCAGTTAGGTAGCTGTTAGGAGAATTTAGTTCAGTGTTTAATAAACTGGAGTAAAGATGATGTTTGGTATTGAAGGTAGGTGTGAACTGGAAAGACTGCTAAGACAGAATGGGCACAGCTTGATTACCATAATCTGTTTAGAGTGGCACACAAGGAGTCCTGGTTGTACAAAAATGCTTGGCTGCCAGTGTTGGGAGAAAAATGCGGCAGTCTACTTTTGTAAAGATTTACAGCTATGGGGCAGTCTTACTCTAAGGCCACCACTAGTTGAAGCCTTCTTGATGGGAATCCATTTAAGTGATTGGGTAGATGAGGAACACAGGCATAAAGACAGAAGTGATGGTTGAGTTCAAGGTGCTTATAGTATGGTATTGTTGGAGCTGTTGGGTAAATGTAGGACAATTGTTTACAAGGTCAACAGTTCAAGCCCACCAGCTCCTATGTAAAAGAAAGATGGGGCTATCTACTTCTATAAAGATTTTCAGCCACGTGATAGTAGTAGGTAAGTAGTTAGTTCAGATAGAGATGTCGATGAAACCACTAAAGGCACTGCAAAGAATGGTTCCCTAGAAGTTTACGGCTACAATTACAGGCATCGTGATTTGATATTAGCAAAAAGAAACCTACTCTAAAATTTTTTGGTACTACTTTCTTATATATTTTGTAGTCAGTTAAATGAAAAACCTTTACCAGAAGGCTGGGAAATGAGATTCACTGTGGATGGAATTCCCTATTTTGTGGACCACAATAGAAGAGCAACTACCTATATAGATCCCCGCACAGGAAAATCAGCCTTGTAAGTTTTCTAAACAACAAATAGATTAAAAATGAAAACTGGTCCTCAGATTTTGATGTATAGATCTGAATTGGCAGGGAATGCAGCCTTTCTGTTTCTTGAGTCAGCTTGCCTGTAGGTCTCTTTCCACAAAATATTTTGTATTTCTATCTCTTATGAATATTTCAACTTAGCTTACATATTTGTTACCATCTGTTCACTGCCTGATGTCTGTGTTCTTTCATTCCTGTTATCTTTAAACTTTATACTTTCTACATAATAACATTTTCAAGCATATTGGAGATACTTGGAAATCATACCATTAAATATTAATTAAATTACAGAGATGATTTAAATAAGGCAACTAAATTATAAATATGACTTGTAATATCGATAACTAAAGCACTTCTTTGAGAAAAATGTATTGCTTTAAGGGCCTGGTTTAGAAAATAAAAAAGGCCTAAAATCAGTGATCTTATTTCTACCTTAAGACACTAGGAAATAAAGACTGAGTTAAACCCAAAGTTAGTAGGAAAAATAAGTAATAAAAAATTAAAGCAGGCTTTGTTCCTCCTCCTGCCTTGGTCTCCCTAGCAGCACCAACAACTGTCCGAGGAGCAGAGGATGGACAGAAGGCAGGCCTTTAGATCAAGGGCCTGGGGCTCGCGGGGCCACTGGGACAAGCCCTGGTACCACCGCAGGACTCGGAGCCATAGTAGAGTTCACCAGGGCTCTATTCTGGTGGTGTTTCATACACCTGCCTATAGGGGCTGCTCTAGAGAGAGACACTGTACTGATATGTAAATATATATAATATATGCGTGAGACATACTGACAGAATCTGTAAGCTAATAAAATTTAAGAAAAAGTTTTTAAAAAAATTAAAGCAGGAATTAATAATTTGAAATGAAACACTAGAGAAATTCAACCTAAAGGTTGGTTCTTGGAAAAGATAAATCCCCTAGTATACCTGAGGGAGAAAAAAGAACATTACCAATGTTAAAATGGCAGAGGGATATCACTATCGAATATACAGATATTAAAAAGTAGTGATATTTTAAACAACTTTGTCAATAAATTTGATGACTTGACTCAAACAAATTCCTTGAAGAAAAAAAGTGTGCTTGCTTCAGCACATATATTAAAATTAAAATTAGAATACAGAGAAGATTACCATGACTCCTGCGCAAGGATGACATGCAAATTCATGAAGCGTTCCATATTAGAGAAGAAAAAAAGCAGTATCTGGCAAAGCAACACAGTTATTAAAAAACTTTCATAAAATAGAAATAGAAACACTTCCCAACTCATTATTTTAGTCTCTTGAACTATATTAGATAGATAAGACAGCTAAATCCAATTCTTTTCCAGTTAGATCAACTCCCTTTAAAGAGAATCAGTTCCCTGCAGGGGGAGGGAGAGGGAAAAAATAAGGAGGTGATACCAAGGGCTCAAGTAGAAAGCAAATGTTTTAGGAATGATTAAGGCAACAAATGTACAGATGTGCTTGACATTCAGTGGGTGTATGTATGAATTGTGATGAGTTGTACGAGTCCCCAATAAAATGATTTTTAAAAAGGAGATTCCCTACAGTTGTAGCTCATTGGCCAGAATCTAGTCACATGGCCACAAAGGAAAGTGTAATCGTTTTTTCCTGAAGAGGAATCTGCCTAGTTAAATATCAAGGAGTTTGAATTAAGTACACAGAGAATGGATGTTGTGGTAGACAGCATTCTCAGAGATAGAAATTCTCTTTAAAAAAAAATCATTTTAGTGTGGGCTCTTACAGTTCTTATAACATTCCATACATCAATTGTATCAAGCATATTTGTACTTATGTTGCCATATGTACATCATTTCCAAAAGACCCTCTTTCTACATGAGCCCTTGGTAAAATCTCCTCCCCTTTCCTTTCCCTCCACCAGAAATTCACTCATTTACCTAATCTTGCAGGCTAACTGATTTGTATTAGATTTGGCTTACATTGAAGAAAATCCCTTAACAGTTATAGAAAGATAGAAACTTATTTCCCTCTGTTTCTTATAAATAAAAAATACTTTTGAGAAAATATTTTTTTGTTTTTAAAGGCTGTATAGGAATATGTATTAAGTAATGGATATTTTTGTATTTGTTAAGTAATGAGGGGTATGTGTCTGGATGCCCATACGTGTTTCTTTCAGTAATCTCTGACAAGCTGCTGCATACACCATGCTAACCATTGTTCTTCCTCAGAGACAATGGACCCCAGATAGCCTATGTTCGGGACTTCAAGGCAAAGGTTCAGTATTTCCGGTTCTGGTGTCAGGTTAGTATTAGGACTGGATTTTCTGTAACTCCTTTTCTTTATTTATACTACATAGTGATGGTGAAAATAGTTAGGTAACTGGTGACTACTGTTGTCTGGCAGAAAAAATTTGAAATCATTTGAATAAGAAAACATTACTCTTGTTTCTGCAGTACTCATTACTTGCAGATTGCAAAAATCTTCAAACATAAGACATTTTCTGGTGTGTAAATTGTAATGAATCCCTTTCATTTCTGATATTTGATATACATAGTAGCATTTTGATAAGTATTCAAAGTATTTTCCTCATGTGGTTAATTATTTGTGGGGTATAAACAAGGTTTCTGAATTAATGATTTCCCTATGAATATTTAATTTAAATGTAACTTAATTAAAAAGGAATATACTAATCAAAATGTTACTATGGTAAATATTTTTAAACTTCACATTCTTGTAATTAACTGGACCCAAACACACACGATGGATCTGAAGTAGTCTTTTGAAAATAAAATTAAGTACAGATTTACTTGGCCCATGCTAAGTAAGCCCATATGCATCTGATAACTTGTTTTCTTCTGTTTCTCGCATAGCTAGCTATTAAATAATCTGTCATTGGCATGAATGTTCACAAATGCATTTTAAAACTTTATTGGTTATAAATTCACATTCATAGTCATGCTTGATATTCTATGCAATGAAAAACGTAAATAAATTTTCCCCTTTTGATTCTTTTGATAGGCCATTTCAGTGGTAAAAATTGACATAAGTCCTTCTTGTATTTCAGCAACTGGCCATGCCTCAGCACATAAAGATTACGGTGACAAGAAAAACATTGTTCGAGGATTCCTTTCAGCAGGTACAATTTCAGTGAATTAAGAGTTTGCATTCTGACTTCCAGCCCAGGACTGCCTCCTGGTGCTGGCATTTTAATTTGAGTAGTTTGAAGTTCTTTGAGTTAGAGTCCTTGACTTTTTAAGTTCTATCTCATTGCCATCTATTTTAGTATTTACCATTTGGGAACATGCAAACAGATTTTTGCGCATGGGCATATATATATGTGTAAGGCATGTTTGTATTTTACTTAGTAAGAGGAAAAGGCTTAGTTTTTATATTCTCCACTACTTGCATTTTTTTCATTAAGCATGTTATACTAATTATAGGAAAGAATAATTAATTTTAACACTATTCAGAAGTAAATTATTTTTTCCTCTGAAATTGAGTTATTTACTTTTATTTAATGTGTGTTGTAGAAATCACTAATAGAACGATGAGGGCAGTGAATGTACAAGTGTGCTTTACACAATTGATGTATGTATGGATGGTGATAAGAGTTGTATGAGAGTGGGTAGGAAAGAGGGAACTAGTTAGAAGGAACTATATGTGACCTCCTCTCTGGGGGACGGACAACAGAAAAGTGGTTGAAGGGAGACGTCGGACAGGGCAAGATATGACAAAATAACAATTTATAAACTATCAAGGGCTCATGAGGGAGGAGGGAGCGGAAAAATGAGGACCTAATGCTGGGGATTTAAGTGGAGAGAAAATGTTTTGAGAATGATGAGGGCAATGAATGTACAAATGCGCTTTACACAATTGATGTGTGTATGGATTGTGATAAGAGTTGTATGAGCCCCCAGTAAAATGATTTTTTTAAAAAAAGAAATCACTAATAACCAACTGCTACTAAATTTGAATAATTTTATCGGGAAAATTTAAATGCCTAGTGAAAAAATATAGAATGTATAAACATTTATGTAATTGTTCATCCTTGCTTTTTGTCGAAGTGTGGAAATGATTCTTTATTATATAGCCCCTACGATACTATTAGGATAGCTGTACACAGTCACACTACCAGTGAGTCAATTCAACTCACAGCAACCCTTTATAGTATTTCTGAGGATTTGGTAGATGTCTTATACAAGCTGATGGCCTCATCTTTGTCTCATGGAGTGACTGGTGGGTTTGATCTGACCTTGTGATTTGTAGTCCAATACTTAACCAACAGAGCCACAAGTTCTCTGTGATAGTACTAGCTTTTACAAAACACTGAACTGAATGCAAGGGATCAAACCCACCAGGCACTCAGTAAGAGACTGATGAGGCTCTCTGCTCCCACAAAGATTTACAGCCTTGGAAACCCAAAGCAGGTAATCCCTTCCTACAGGATCACAATGAGTAGACATCAGCTGGATGTCAGAGAGTGAGTCACTGAGACAGGCTCTAGTGGAGCTTTTTCTTAGAATATAACTTGCTGATAGAAATATTCAAAAGATACAAAATGTGATTAAATTACCCTTTTATTTGGTAGTTAATAAGTCAAAAAGTATTGCTGTGCAACCTCATGTATGCACAGGTTTATATTTCATGCAGTATATTTTCAAACATGTCTTTGCAGTCTTTGGATGGCTATAAATTAGGTATTTCGGTAATTCATTTGTCTTAGCCTCATTAGAATGCTTTAAAAAAGAGAAGATACTTTCTGGGCGACAGGAAAAAGAAATGAAGTTAGAGCTAAAAATAATAAAACTTAACAACCCAAGTGGAAAGCTTGCCAAATCATTGAAGCTTTGCAATAAGTTTATAGGAATGCTGCTCCACATTGAAACAACAACAAAACAGTTCTAGAAGGAAGACTCAAATCTCAGGGAATGAAGCAACTGTGGCTGAAGTCCAGAACCCAGTGGAAGAAGATAAAAGTACCATTGGTGCAATAGTGACTGAAGTTGGGATCTCAAAGACTTCAGCATTTTCAATTTTAAGCAAACATCGGGGCCTCAGCAAGCTTTTCTCCTGGTTGGGTGCAAAAGGCATTGATTGCATAAACAGCTAAGCTAGATCCTAGGTGATCTTTCCATCAATCTTTTATGCAGGACCGAAGCTAACAAAGATGATTTTATGGGAAGAATCAAACCAGGTCTAAGTCTTGGATTTACCAATATAATAAAGTTCAGTCAAAACAGTGGCTTCTGAGGGGATCTGCTGAATCATTTAAATTCAAGGCAGAGAAGTCAGCTCATAAGGTTATGCTGTTTTTGAAATTACAAAGAGGTAATCTTGTTAGATTTTGCTTTTCACAAAGGACACAGGCCAATCATAGGAACTACTATGAAGACATTTTAAGAAAATGGAAAACTACACTAATGAGAAAAAGGCCAAGAAAATTGCATCAAGAAATTTTTATCTATCACAACAATGAACCTGCTCAGTCTTTGCTGATCGTATATAAGAATTTCCTTGGAAAATCTTATCCATCTACCCTACAGCCCTGATAGTGCACCTCCTGGCTTCCCCCGTCTCAAAACAGCAACAACAAACTCAGCATTTTCAGCACTCTTCAAGTCCCTTGGCCATGCCAAAACCATTTGATTGGTATAAATTAAACAGTACAGAATTCCTGCAGGAAGTATTAGAAGATAGAAACATCACCTTCAGAAGTGTATAGACCTAGGCAGAGAATTATAACTTCACATTTTGGTATTTTTGTTCAATAATAAGTCCTACGATTTTGCCACATTATATCTGTAGAAGAAAATATTTTCCATTTTGAAATTTTATATGTACAGTTCAGTTGCAGTTTTTAAAAATACATACTTTTATTGAGAGCTCTTACATGTCTTATCACAATCCATACATTCCTCCAGTGTGTAAGGCACATTTGCACATATGCTGCCATCATTTTCAAAGCATTCTTTACACTTGAGCCCCTGATATCAGCTACTAATTTCTTTCCCCTCCCTCCCCTACCCACCCTCCCTTACGAACTCTTGATACATTATAGATTATTATTTCCATATCTTACATCATTATCCGTTGCCCTACACCCACTTTTCTGTTATTCGTCCCCCTGGGAGGCGGTTCTAGATTGGTCCTTGTGATCGATACCCCCTTTATCCCCCCCACCATCCCCTAATCCATTCTGGTGTATCTACTCTCATTTCTCTCTTGTATGTGTATATCACATATCAATTCGTTGGTTTGAAGTTCAAATTGTTTCTACATCTTGGCTATTACTGGTGCTGTGATAATGAACATTGATGTTCATGTACCAATGTTGAAGATTCTGCTTTCAATTTTTCCGAGTATATACCTAGGAATGAGTCATGGGGTGGTTGTTTTAACTTTTTAAAGGCACTACCAATCTGTTATCCACAACAGCTGTACCATTTTCCATTCTCACCAGTAATGGATGAGTATTTCAATGGCTTCACATCCTCACCAATATCTGTTTTCTTCTCTTTTTGAGAAATATTTTTAGTATCATAGCCATCTTTTTAGAGGTGACGTGCTCTTTGAGGTTCTTATATGCATTGTTCTGATGACTAATGTAGAACAACTTTTTAGTGCCTGTTGGCTATTTAGTTAACCTCTTTTGGTAAATGAAGTCGTTTGCCAGTTTTTCTTTTAATTGGTCTGCTCATGGTTTAAGTAAAAATAATTAAATAGACTTTACATATTAAACCCTTATAGATAGATGATTTTCTGAAATTTTCTTCCATTTTGCAATTGGTTATTTAATTTGTTGCTTAAGTCCTTTGATAAAATTTAAAATTTTTGATAAGATCTGGTTCATCATCTGTTTTGTCTTTAGTTGCTCATGACCTTTATCTTTGACTTTTAAAGCCCAAAGAATTTTGCAGAAATGACAGGTGGTTCTAAAACAGTTGTTTAAAAATGTTACACTAAAAAAAAGTCACACTGGATTTGACATCCTTCAGCTAAATATGAAATAAAAAGTTTGAGAAATATTTTGCTACTTTGGAAAACTGATAAATCTGTGTCAAATTTTGCATCTGATTTTTTTCCCCCATCATTATTAGATAAAATTTCTCTGGGTAATATTTCTTTTGTTAACATAGACCAACTACTATGGGAGGGTTTGCAAGAGAAGAATTTGTATTGTTTATTTTCCTTCATATTATTGTTGTTAAAGCAAATTAAGATATTTTTAATCTGGAGACAATTCTGATTTTCATAGCATAGATACCCATCTGATGTAGTCATAGACTGTTATCATAGACACTATTTTCTTTGCACTTTTTGTTACAGCTGGAATGTTCTTAATTGACTTAGAATTTATAAAAAAGACCTGCTTAATGGGGATGAAAGCCGTAGGAAAAATGTAAATCTTGATATTTAAATGTGATAATTCATCTTAACCACTCCATAAAATAGTAGCGTTATATGCAGACCCTGTGAATCCCCTCACTCCACCCGCTAAGTGTAATGACACTTACAAATGTTCTCCTAACCTGATATTAAACTAATGATAAATTTTATATCCAGGAAGAAGTAAAATTATCTGTCCATTGTAGTTCATTTATAGACTTGTCCTTCACATATGATATTGATCAATTTGGCCATCTGTCTTTAGGCATAACCTTTTAGGAGGTGTGTTAGACAGGGTTCTCAAGAGAGATAAAACCAAATTGCTGATAATTTAATATATTTATAAAGATAATTATATATATAACAAGGAATGAACTGTTAAATCATATACAGTTAAATATATAATACAAGAAAGAAACAGTTAAATTATAAAGCACTACAAATGGCTCAA